TTTTTGATTAATACTAACAAATCTTGTTTTTTGAATTAGCAATTTAATTTGCAAACATTTTTTAGTTATATACGTTTGCTACATTCTTTTGTTTAGCAATGAACGTCGCCAAAGAATAAAAAGAGTATCAATCCCTTGATAGAGTCTAAGTGTACTTACAGCTCGTACAGTGGACAATACCACTATATTGTGAAAATATTGATTACAATTCACAAATAATGGAGACAATGCCACAGACTTTGCTGTCTTGGCGACACTTTAAAAAAACGTTTCGAGTATCATCTTCTTTAGCATGACGCGATGACTCCGTAATGCCGACACAATCTTAGGTTTATTGTTTATATGTTAATAAAATATGTTCATAAAAGATGAATAATTGTATATAATTGTATATAATTGTATATAATAATTTTAATATGATTAGTAATAATTTTAAATAAAAGATAATAGAATACATTATAATAAAAGATAATATAATACACAACATATGATATCCGAATAATCGAACAGACGCATATTCGAATAACAATCTAAATCTGGGTGCAATACGTTCAAATATTTAGATTCTAGAATATCGAAAATATTCATTAAATATCTAAATGCTACAATGCATTTTATGATAATTAGCATATTTGTTAAATACCTAATGTACTTTCATAGTAAAGAGAAATATGATGATAGAAAAATATGACAGCAAATGTGTTGTTAGTCGCGGACTTGCTTCGCTCTTTCTTTATTCCCCTCTTTCTCTCTCTCTCTCTCTCTCTCTCTCTCTCTCTCTCTCTCTCTCTCTCTCTCGCGTCGATCGCGGTTGCACAATGGCGTGCGTGAACGCTCGGCTACGAAAACGGCGTGGACGCGAGGAGATCCATCAATCCGAGGTCGGTCAGCGTGTATCTCTCTCCGGGACGGGAGAGTATCGATCGTATCGATCCCGGCTTGTCGAGGCGCGCGTAGGTACGCGCGAGTCCGACGAAAGTATCCGGGATTCCCGTCCGCTCGCTTGACCACCAGAGGCGATTCCCGCGCGCGTCTCTCCCTCTCTCCCGACCTCATCATCATTCCTCCTCTCCCTGATCCAGCTCTCCGATCGCGGATACATACGATCCGCCGTACGAGATCACAGGCGGCGACTTTCCCACGACCCTCTCGCCCGGGTTTTTCATTAATCGCGATAACACCCGCTACGCATCTAGCGCTTCCTGTTGACACGCGTCTCGACACGGCTCTATTCAGCGACTAGCCTAATTGTCTGGCTCGTGATAAATCGCGTTAAAATTGATCCCTTCGCCCTGGAACTCCCTGTTTGCGATCGGATTATTTATACGGTTATAGTCGACAACGTACGTCACCGATTAATTATCGGTAGTATGCCCGCGTAGTATACAAAAACCATGTCTCCCATATTTATTTATTGGATGTCATCTATCATGCGTTTAGGGCGAATGCCCGGACGTATAGATGTGCCTCGCACAAATATGAAGCTGTAGATTATACGTGGCATGGTCCATCGAGCCGTGCTTTTTATCTTGACAATCGAGCCCGCGTATCCGGAGGATGCGTGATGCCTCCTCACCGGACCTCTCGTGAGTGCGTTCCGTCGAGAGCTGCGCGGCGATATTAACCCATTAACGTTTATAAATCGTCGCCGAACGGCGCGTGAGTTGCTTGCGGAGTGCGTTCCGCGACGTGCATTTCCAATGCCGAATATCACGTGGGTTCCCGATCATGGTCAGGGGCGGGTTAGCAATACGAGGCTCATCAGGGAGATACAAAAAAAAACTGACGAATCGATGTTATAAATTATAATTATATATAGTATCT